CCAGGGTGATTTATGAAGTTACACCGCGTCTGGGATCTCGCATCCCGACAGAAGCTGCATGGCGTCTATCGGGATGCGAGATCTTCCAACACTACCTCAAGAGAGTTCAACGACGACTTTATCAAAGTTTGGTCCCCAATGCAGTAGCTAATGTGATCGAACGTCTTACCTTTTCATGCTTTAACTGCATTTCAAGAAATAGGACGATAGTGCAAAATCCTTAATCTAAGTATGTTATAAAATGTACTAATAATATATGAGTGTTACTATTATTAGATCCCGATGGAATTTTAGCCTGGGCATAAAGAATAAAGCTAGACGCTGCCGTATTGTATCGCGGCCAGATATATTGAGCACATACGTCATAGCGTTGCGCACACTTCATTCTATATGCTCTAGATATTTTTCTCTTTCTTCCCTTTTATAACAAAAACTAAGATTTCTTAGAACCTAAACTTCAAGCATTATTCAGAATCTGTTTAACATTAAGTTCACAAACAAAAGTCCTTATGTAGAAGAAATGTTGAACGTTTGTGGGTTTTCGCAAATGCGAAACACATGTCCTTTCCCGGGTATTTGGGAATCCCGTGTAAGTAAACTTTCATGCGATTAATTGTTACAAGTTTGCGTTACCTCTGTTTTGAATTCACATTATTACGAACATGCGAACTATTGAGGTGTTAGAGTGGACCTCACGCAAAGATCTCTTTTCTCCTTCCTTTCATGGATTTTTGAGCTAACAACCCATGATAGGTACAAACTACTAAACATTTTTATTTACAATTACGAGCTACTATACCTTACTCTATACACATACACAACATACTACAAGTTAAATAAATTTTAATATATACTATATCAATTTATACTTTATTATATACACACAACTATATTACATGCATATAATCTATACGAACCTCCTAACTATGATCTACACAGTAGCTGGTAGATATTGATAACCTACGATATATATATATATATATTTATTTATTTATTTATGGTAAATTATATCCTACTTAACC